TTCAGGATAACGACCCAAAACACAGCTAGAACCCCCCCAGAAGAAGACATTGGAGGATTGTGACCTCTGTGAGTCCGGATCTGAACCCCCCAGAACTTCTATGGAAAGATCCGGAACATCCGGTGTGGAGGAGGAACAGAACCCGAGAGCTCAGGAATCCCCCCCGGCACCGATCGCCTCCTCAGCTCAGATTTCGGGTCCCGTCACTTTTGTCCGGACGCTTCCAAATGTTTTATTGTAAATCTTCTGGAGGACGACGTCTGTATATTCAATCCGCTGCACAGGGCCCGGCCCCCGGCGTGTGGCCCCTCAGGAGTCTGCCCTCTCCGCACCGAGGGGCCACTCGGATCTTTTATATCAGGTCGTGTTGGGTAGTGAGCATGACTGTAGGGAGCAGGGACTTGTACAGAGGTAACATGCAGCCCTTTGATATCAGGGGCCACACTTGGGATAGAGGAATATATAGGAAAGGGATCGGCTCCCCCTGCTGGTCATTCTGGGCGCCACAATACTTCTGTGCTGCCAATGACACCGCCTGTTATGTCTGTAAATAAAGAATAAAAATAACCCTTTTTTTTTTACAGATACAATAAAAGGTGGGCAGGAGTCGGGCACAGACATTACTCTGGGTGGGCAGGAGGCGGGCACAGACATTACTCTGGGTGGGCAGGAGGCGGGCACAGACAGTACTCTGGGTGGGCAGGAGGCGGGCAGAGACAGTACTCTGGGTGGGCAGGAGGCGGGCACAGACACAGTACTCTGGGTGGGCAGGAGGCGGGCACAGACAGTACTCTGGGTGGGCAGGAGGCGGGCACAGACAGTACTCTGGGTGGGCAGGAGGCGGGCACAGACAGTACTCTGGGTGGGCAGGAGGCGGGCACAGACAGTACTCTGGGTGGGCAGGAGGCGGGCACAGACAGTACTCTGGGTGGGCAGGAGGCGGGCACAGACACAGTACTCTGGGTGGGCAGGAGGCGGGCACAGTACTCTGGGTGGGCAGGAGGCGGGCACAGTACTCTGGGTGGGCAGGAGGCGGGCACAGTACTCTGGGTGGGCAGGAGGCGGGCACAGACAGTACTCTGGGTGGGCAGGAGGTGGGCACAGTACTCTGGGTGGGCAGCTGAAGTCTGGGGCCGTTCGCACCTTGTCTTTGATACTACAATGGGCAGTAACACACATCAGTGTAATGAAGTCCATGCCCCTCCCCCTCCCCAATGTACCGGCACTGCACCGGAGGCTCAGCCGGCGGCCGGATCATCGTTCCGTCTTTTCATATCTTTGTTTTTAATACCCATTGGTTGATTTGGGGGCAATAAAAAGAACCAATCAGGGCACAAGCTGCCAACCTCCTCCTAGAAATGTCCCCTCCCTCCCCGCATCTGATGGGTGC